TTCCCCCGATAGCAAGGACCATGTAGCGAGACAAACAAAAGCTTGACGGGAGGAGAGCAGGACAAAAACCAAGCCAAGGAATATAGAACCCACAGGAAAAAGGGAAAGGAAATTAAAGCAATGTTCATATGCCATTTATAATCTGACTCAGGCGCATAACCACCCCTAAGCCACAGAAAGGCACTGAGAGCCCCCGTTACCTTTTATCTTCAGCGACGGGAACTCTTATCCATAAGTATGGCATCACATCCTTTCATTCACAATTATAAATAATTCGGAGGTTATTTATTGTCCTAATCAGCATGCCTGCAATGTATGGCAAAGGCATGGCTGGTCTGGGCAGCATGGACTTCCTCTCCCTTCCCATTGTGGAAATCCCAGCCAGCTCTGCTCTTTACCTGGGCTTTCCCCACCCTCCCCATCTACCCCCTCCCACCCCCATCCTCCTGGCCTGCAAGCAAACTACATGCAGGTTACCCGGTTCTAGGCTATGGCAATCCACTCTGCTTCAAGAACACATGCTACACACCTGCCCTGCTGATGTGTTCTGAGCTGTTCTTTCTTCTAACCTTCCCTCCTCCTGGGAGGGATGATATGAAGATCAAGGAGCTAATGTTTGTCAAATACTTGAGGCTTCTCAGATGAAAGGCAACATCTCAAGCAACCTGAGGCCTGGCATTCCAGGAGAGGCGCTGAAGTTGACTCTGTATTTGTGCTTCAAAGAAGGAAGTCAGGTTGCAAAGACATTCCTTTGGGAAGTTTTTTGCCTTCTTGCTGAAGGCGGGCTTATTTATTTATCGGAACATTCTTTCATTCACAGGATTTCAACATCAGAAATACCAGGATCCTGCCTAGCCAGTGTGGCTCAGTGGTTGAGCATTATCGACCGATGAATCAGGAGGTCAGGGCACATGGGTGGGTTGGGGGCTGGATCCCCTGTAGGGGGCATGCAAGAGGCAACTGATCAATGATTCTCTTTCATCATTGATGTTTCCCTCTCTCCCTCTCCCTCTCCCTCTCCCTCCATCTCTCTCTCTCTCTCTCTCTCTCTCTCTCTCTCTCTCTCTCTCTCTCTCTCCCTTCCCCTCTAAAATAAATCTTAAAAACATTTTTTAAACAATGTCAGGTCCCTTAAACTAGTCCTGGACCCTGTTGTAGTAATTAGCACACAGAAAAAAAGGACCCTTTTCTCAGCCCTTCTCCAAGGAACTTTCCTCCTTCCTCACCCTTCCCTACTGCCTGGTCTTGCAAATGTCAACCTCCTCTCTCAGGAGGGGCTGCGTGGCAGCTGCCAGCTCACACATTTGCGTTGGGCCAACAGACCAAAAAAAAAAAGAAGTCAAAGACAAAGCTTTATGTGTATGTTGGCACGCATGTGAGTTCGGGCTGCTGGGGGAAAAAGCGACACAAAGAGCACATTCATGGCCACATGGAACTCCTGGAACATATAAATAGCCATCCTCGACCCAACACCTACTCTGGGTGAGGCACGTGTGAGGAGGGGGCCGTATAGCATTACACCGAACTCCCCACCGAGATTCTGCCAAGTTAGACACCACTGGCCCCGTCATGTAGAAGAAAAGAGGTGGAGATTGAATTTGAGATTCCGAACAGGCTGCGAAGACCTTCCAACATCACGCAGCTGAAAAGATGGCAGGGCTGGAACGCACACCTCGCTATACTCCTACTCCTGGCTTCCTGACCCTGCACACGGATGGCCGGGAAAGCTGCAAAACTGGCCGCCGCCCCCCTGGGCCGTGCCATAAGCCCTGCATGGGGCTCAGACACGGGAAAGGTAAACTAAGTCATGAGGAGGGATCACGGTCTTCCTTTAGACATTATTCTTAACCTCCTTTTTTTTACCAAAACGTGTTTGTCTTCCCGTGTTCTCCTTAATCAGTGCAAGCAGCAATAACTTAATGGGCTAATTAAGTAGCTCATCTTATCTCTTTTCCCCTGTCTTATCTCTAACAAAGTGCCTGTTCCGAGGCTTAGAGTGAGTTCAGAAAAAACGCTGAAACCGGTTTGGCTCAGTGGATGGAGCGTTGGCCTGCGACTGAAGGGTCCTGGGTTCGATTCCGGTCAAGGGCATGTACCTTGGTTTTGGGCACATACCCAGTGGGGGTTGATCGATGTTTCTCTCTCATCAATGTTTCTAACTCTCTATCCCTCTCCCTTCCTCCCTATAAAAAATCGATAAAATATATATTTTTTAAAACACACACACACACAGGCTTGATGACTATGTAAAGAAGTTCAAATGCAGGCTAGGAGAGGAACAAGGACAAGAATGTAAAACTCGGGTTGGCTACAATGGGCAATCAAAGGGCTTATGTTTGCTTCCCATTTTAAGAAAAAAAAACACAAAAACAAAAACCTAAGCGCTTAATAAGGCTAGAAAGCACTAGGGAAAAAATCGCCATACTTCTTGAACCTTGTCCCCCCCCCCACCCCCACCCCATCCCCTCTGCCGTTCAGTACAGTAAGAACTCACCTAAAAAAAATTCTGAATTTTCTCTGAATTCTTTAAAATTCTTCCACATTGAAAAAAGACTAACTGTTCTTCCCACCACAGCTGTCCATGCCACACAGTGTGCGCAAACCCGAATAACTGCGGTGTCACTAACGGCTGTGTTTGAGCCAGCAGGAGAAACTGGGACGGTGCCTGGGGAGAGGGAGCTGCTCTCCGGCCACCCCCCTCCTGCAGGCCCTCTGCCTTCGGAGAGCCGCTCCTGAGATGAGAGGTGAGTGGAGGGCGCTTGGATAAACACCCCCAATCGTGGGAAGTCAGGGTGCTCTTCCCGCTCCCATGTGCTGGCCTGAGGTCACGGGCAGCTGGCCCTCTGCCACCTCAGCGGGGACGCGGCCGCGAGGAGTAATAAATACTACACCGCCCGCCACTCCAGCCCGGTGAAGAGGCCCCTGGAAAGGCAAACCACGCGGAGAATGCGCTGCTCCGGCAGGACCTTTTCCAGGCGGGAGCGCGCGGCTGAGTCCCGGGCCATCAAGGCCACCACCACCCGCCAGCGGTGTTGACAAAGTTTCAGGGGAGGGAAAAGTGGTCTTCACCACCGTGCTGGAGCACTGATGACTTTTTAAAGGAGAGCATACGTAACAAACACAGAGACGCATACGTAAGCGCCCCCTGCACAGCAGGGCCGGCATTCAGATCTGGGGAAAGAGCACCGTTCTGGTCAGGGCCCAGGCACAAAGGCCATGCATTTTATTATTATTATTTTTTTTTTTTTTGACACACACGTTTAACCCCATCACCAAAAGATGCAGGGGTCCTCAAACTTTTTAAAGTGGGGGCCAGATCACGGTCCCTCAGAGAGCTGGAGGGCCGGACTATATGTACTACTAATTCCTACTGTAACACCTCGGCTGCGCTCACTGCCCAAAAAACCTGGCGGGCCGGATCAGACTCCTCTGCGGGCCGCATGTGGCCCGCGGGCCGTAGTTTGAAGACGCCTGGCAGCATGATCACCTGTGGCAGTCAAACTGCTCTTAAAAAGAGAATCGATACCATTCTTAATGACACCCCCTTTCCCCCCCCCACCCATGGGCCAATTAGCGCCAATTAAAATTTAGAGGGTCCCACCACCGCTGCTCCCCTCCTGCTCCCCTCCCCGGAGAAACAGCCTCAGGCATGCAGGTGTGTCCAAAAGGCCAAAAGGAGGCTGTGAGATATCTGACTCCCAGAAGTAGGTAACATGCTACCAGTTTAATTTCTGATACATTAAAAAAATAATAATAATAAAAAAAATAATGTTGTCCATGCAACACTTGGCTGTAAGCCCCCTCCGGCCTCTGCACAGGTATGACCTCTTTGCACATGTTTTTTCGATGGCTATCCCTTCGCACCCATTTCCTCCAGGTGAGTGAGCCAACCTCACCCCCAGGACCAAGCTTTCCCTGGCAATGCTCGCAACCCTGTGATTGCGATTGCTCACTGGCCTGGGGGCTGCCTCCAGGGGCTGCACTGAGATCTCCTTACAGCATCTTTGGGTCCCTGGTTCCTAGCACAGAGCAGATGTTCAATGCTAGGTGTGTTGAATGAATGAATGAACCCATGTATTTTAAGAAATTCGCACATGGGTGGAAACCCTGTAACCCATACATGCAGCCTGCACTCTAGAGATTCCTCACCTTCCTGAAGAGCCCGCCACAGCCAGCCAGTTCCTGAAAACCCCACAATCCCCTTCAAGTGTAGGAGGGCTGGGGGTGAAGGTAGGGGGCAAAGCTACCTCTCTACTCCTTCAAAAAGGTGGGGGGAAACCCACGTACAAAGTATTCAAAACCCAGAGGTAGGAGTCAGGCCAGGGAGAGAGTGTATTACCACCACCACCCTGAGAAGTTAATTCACACACGGAGGTTTGAAAGTTTGAGGCGGAGACCCATTCTGAAATTCTGTGGTCACCGGTTTCCCCTAGGAGCCGGCCTGACCACCCAAGCAGGGTCCAAGGAGCCTAGGAGTTGGGTGGCATGGCGGGGCCTAGTGGGATGGCAGGGAGACTCCTCTCCCTCACCAGAAGATCCTGTCCTCCTACGGGGCAGAGAAGGGTAGGTCGGGAGGACGCCTGTCCGTCTCCGCTGAAGCGATAGCCATGTCCTTGTCTTCCATCCTCCTGTCCCCAGCCCCTGGGCATCGCCAGCTGCCCTTTCGAGGCCCAGTCTCATGCCCCCCCGCCGCCCCCCAAAAAAGCAGGAGAATATGAGGAGGACGGGGGCTTGTGTGGGTTTAGCCACAAGCTCTCCTCCAGACGGCTCTCACCTTCCTTCCCCCTTCACTCCCCAGACAAGCTGTGCGCCTCGCAGGGGACGGCTCCCCCCGCAACAGCCAACTCCCGCGGCCCGGGCCCCCCCGCGCCCCCGCAGCCTCGTCCGCGCCCGGAGCCGCCACCGATCCCAAGTCAACGTTTTGCCAGCCTTTGCCCAAGTCCACCGCCAGGCGCCCCCCCAACCTCCGGCCCGACTCCCGCGCCCCAGACGGCGCTTACCTGCGCTTACATGGCCCGGCCGGAGCCCCGGAGTCCCGCGCGGAGAGGCTGTCCCTCCACGGCCGCGGCGGAGCCCCAATTCCCCCGGGAAAGGGTTCCAGGGGCCGGCGGAGGAGGGACGGAGGGAAGGAGCCGGAGGAGGCGAAAGGGGAGGGAGGAGGGTTCCGCCGCGATCCGGGCGCCCGAGTGCGCGCAAGGGCGCACGGAGCCCGAGCCCTGGAGAGCCCCCGAAGCCCGGGGCGTCCGGCCCGCGGGAGGGGGGATCGGGGCGAAGCCAGCAGGCCGGGGAGGATGGGGAAGGACCGCCAGAGGCCACTTAGTGTCCGCGGCTCCCCGAGGACCAGAGCCGGGAGAGCTGGCAGCAGCAGGGCGAGCCGGAGCGCAGCAACCTGCCCCGTGCCAGCAGCGCCCGCCCGCGAGGGAAAAGTTGGGCAGAACTTTGAAGGGCCGGAGAGCCCGAGTGGCAGGAAACGCGAGCCGCCGGGAGAGGAGAGGAGAGGAGGGAGGAAGGGGCCGTGCGAGTGGGAGGGGACGGAGCAGGCGCCGGCGGCCGCGGTTCCCCCACCCCCGGGCCGGCTCGGCGGCGCTGGGGGCCGGGAGGGAGGCGGAGGGAGGCGGAGGGAGCGCGGGGCGGCGCGCGGCCGGGCGGGAGGAATGCGGCCGGGAGGGCGGGCGGGCGCGCGCGCAGGGAACGGGCGCGGCGGGACGGGGGCGCGCGGCGGGGCGGGAGGGCGGGCGCGCGCAGGGGGCGCGCGGCGGGCGCGGGAGCGGAGGCGCGCGGTCCCCGGGGACGTCACGGCGCTGGAATCCCAGGAATGCCGGGCGGCCCGGGCGCCTTCCGCAGGCCCCGGAGCGGGCGCGCACTTTTAACGTGGCAGGTTGGGGGGAATGGGGGGGAATGTTTGTCAAGGTGGGGACGGGATTAAACTCCCTGGAGAGACGCAGGGGGTGGCGAAGGAAGAGCCACCGTAGCCGACCCCACCTCGCGGGAAAACGGGAAGATCCCACCGAGACCTCGGGAAACCGCAGGGGCAGGACCGCGGCGGCGACTTGGCCGATCGGGCCTAGAGGCAGCACAGTCCGTCCTACAGCGGGAAGCCCTCCGAGCAGGACGTGACCCTGCAGCCCCTGCACTGGGGACAGACCGGGAGATAGATGATAGGTGCCTTCACCGAGTTCTCTCTCCGGGACACCCGGCACCTGGGGGCACTGGACCTGCTGTCTGAATCCACCCACCTCATCCCGCACACACACCCCTCTCCTGGAATCGCAAAAGCCGTTTCTTCGCGCCAGGGGTTGGATAGGTCGTTTTTTCCCGGTTCTTTCCAAGCCACAAACTCGCCCCACCCTGCCAGGGGAGGCAACTTCCTGAGCACTTTCGGAGGTGGAGTTAATGGCCCGCAGCCGGTTGGATGGGAAAAGCACGGAGCCAGGAGAGGGACCCAGGGCGGTAGGCCTTGCCCTGCTGGTGACTGATTGGATGACTGAGGAGTATTCCAGCCTAAGAAAGCCTTGGTTACTGTCGCCGTAGAATGTATTGCCTACGTTTCTGTGGTCCTTTGCATTTACTTGAAACATGCCTTAGGGATCAACCAGGACTCAAAGCCCAGTCCTCGCAACCTTTCTTAGACTGAAAAGGATCCTTGAAGTCATTGTCACAAGATACTCTCCCGGATTACTTCACTGTCCCACAGTCACAAAAACTCTGGGCCTCTTGAGGAAGAGTATGGAGAAACCAAAAAGCAAGATCTACTATACCCATCATGTGTAAGTGTGTAGGCGACTGTCTTTTTTGAGCATTTGACAATTTCCAGAATTCTAGGAAGCAGAGAAGACGCCAAAAGGGAGGGAAAGGGGAAGGGTGAAGAGAAAGAAAATCCGTTTCTCAAACTTCCAAGGAAACAGCCGGATAGCTTCAATGTGGACTTGCTGGGTTTCCCAAGAAAATTAGGGAGTGCCTTACTGTGTGGTCCAGGAAGTGTGGGAAGCACTTTGCACCCCGCTGTCATTATCCCCATTTCCTAGATAAGGAAAGTGAGGCATTGGAGTAGCTCTGTATCTCACCCAGGGTCACACAGCAGTCACATCTGATAGTGGAGCCTCGTCTGGTCTGGCCCAAAAATGCAAGCTACTTATCTCTTCAACGTTTGAGCAAAACAGAATTAAGGTTAAAAGATACGGAAATACCTGCGGGCTTCCCAGGTAAAACCCAAGCGCCTGCTCTTCCCCTGAGACAGTAATGCCCCTTGGGGTCTCAGAGGAAAGGAAGTGGCCTATGTGTGTTGTGTAAAAATCGCTACGATACCGAACTCCCAGCACAGCAGCTAAGACAAGTGTGAAGAATGAGCAAAGGATGTGCTTGGAGACAGGCTTCCTTTTTTTAAATAGGAAGTCCAGCTTGAAGTGACAAAAAGCCTTTTCATTCTCTGGGTAAGTATGTAAGAGGGAGTCACAGGCTTCTTTCAGAAAGGAAAAGAAAAAAAAAAGCAACCCTCATCTCAGTGTGTAGCAGGGTGAATGGGAGCTTGGCTGAGGGGATAGGTCCCAAATACATCACTTCGGATTTATCGAAGTATTTAATACTTGACAACTTTGTCAGAACCTGTCGATACAAAAAACTCCCAGAGTATTTCAACTTCCTGCAAGCCTTATTTAAACTACAAATGCAGGCAGAATCTCCTGGGCCTCCATGACTCCTCCTGCCTCAGTGTGTGCCTCCTGTCAATCTATTAATGTTACACCTTCAAAACGTCAAAAACACTGAAAGCAACACAAACCAAGCTCCCCAATCAGAGCACTCTGGAGAGGAAGGAAAACTGATGATTTCTAGGGATCTACTCGTTGTTCAAGTCTTATGTATGTAATTATGATTGTTTCGTTGGTTTTTACCCTCCGTCTAATTCCAGTTCCTAAGTGGATATTTGGCAGTGATAGAGGGAAAGAAAGGGGGAGCTTTTTCAAGATATCCATCCTCTCTGTACCCCCTGCTCCCATAGCTTATTCAGCATATTCCCTGGGTCTAAGGAAGAGACTTGGACGGGTGTGTACTTGTGTGTATTTATAATATTTTAGGCAGTATTGAGATATAATTCACATGCAATAAAAAGCCCAAATCTGGTGTCCCTATAATTGATGGTTTTTCATATGGATACATCCATCACCCAGATAAGGATAAAGAAAATCCACCACAGAAATGTCCCTTTTGTGACATCTTAGAAAGTATTACCTCTCCAGGTTGACTTCTACCACCGAAAAGGAGTTCTGCTAGTTCTCAAACGTCCTTTAACTGGAATTATGTTGTGTGAGTACATGTCACAATTTGCTTCTTCATTCCCCTATTGATATATTGGGCAGGTATATTTTGAAACATCTCCCAACTTTTCCAATTCAGAACCACTGACATAGCAAAAATATAATAAGATAAGCCTAGATTATTCTACACCTACAAAAATTATTAAGTGATAGACAAGGAAAGAAGAGAAGATTTTAGAACAAATTTAAGAGGACTTTAATGGTTATATACACTGAGTGGCCAGATTATTATGATCTCTAAATGCGTAATAATCTGGTCACTTAGTGTGTGTGTGTGTGTATGTGTGTGTGTGGTGTATACATATATATGTATGTAAATATATATGTGTGTGTGTGTGTGTGTATACATATATTAGAGGCCTGGTGATAGATAGATAGATAGATAGATAGATTGATAGATAGATATTTTTTTAGAGGCCTGGTGCATGAATTCGTGCATGGGTAAGGTCCAGCCAGCCTGGCCACGGGGAAGGGACATGGGCAATTGGCCAGCCTGCCTGCCGATCAAATTCCTGGTCAAGGGGACAATTTGCATAATAGCCTTTTATTATATAGGATATACACTGAATGGCCAGATTGTTATGCGTTCAGAGATCAAATAATCTGGCCACTCAGTGTATATTCAGAGCTTCTTATCAATAAAAACAAAGTAGGAAATTAACTGGGATATGAACTTTTTAACAGCTAGTGGTTTCTTAAAGCTACCTGATTAAAAAGAATGGTCACGTACAGCCACATACACATACACAGCACTGCTCCCAGAGCTAAAATAGTCCACAGTGTGACTGGCAGCCCCAGAATTGTGCAGCCCCAGAGTTGTCCCAGATGTGATGAGCTCTCCCTTTAGAGAGAACTTCATGGGATCTGCTTGGAAAGAATCACTTCTCACACAGAAGACAGCCCTTCCTCCTTCCTAGTTGCATCTTTGAGGCCCTTCAGTTTGGGGAATTAACGGGGTCCTCCAACACCCAGCCTTTCCACCAGTTGACTAAGCCAGGAAGCCACACTACTCTCAAATATTGATAAAATGATAGACTTCTGTGGAGGCATGGATAAGATACCAGTAAAAGTGCACAAGGTATATTTGGGTTCGCTCTCCAGGCTCACCTGCCTCCATTTCATTCTTTTTTCTGATATCTGAACTCTCATTCCTAAAGCCCCCTCATCTCTGGCCACCAAGCCTTCCGGTCATTACCTCTCCGGTTCATTTTCCTTCCTTTTTTCCATCTGTCAGGAAAAGGCTCCCTGCCTTCCAAAGGGGCTACTTCCTGACCTGAATCAAAGGAGAGAGGGTTCCCCTATCCATACCTGCCAACGGAGGCCCCAAATGAATTATCTCCTCGTTGCCTCCTTCAGGAAAGAATGTCAAAGGTTTTTAGTTGTATTTTTTTCAAGCTGCTAGGAGAAAGGTGGATCTGTTTTCCTGGATAGTGTGCCAGCTGCACCGGGCAGTGATCCCGGAGTCAGGTACCAGTGGGCAGACTGGCTCTAGACAGATTACAAGTTTTTTCAATAAAAATCTGCAAAATTAAACCAATTGTTTACTCTTTAAAAGTTCCACAGGACAGCAACATATATTAATCAGGCAACTCTAGAAAAGGTAATTCACACCCATTATTGGTACTTTCAGGAAGTTGTAAAAGAAATGAAACCCAGGCCCTATTAAGTATCTTTCCATGTTCCATGTGTTCATTATCATTCTCTACTAATTTCACCTTAGGTTGCAAGCACCCTTTGAATCATGTCTTCAAGGTATGAGCTTCCTGATCATATTCACCAGGCTCAGCTTGCTGACTTTCCCCCCACTTCCCCACCCCCTCTCTCAGCACCAACCTTGCTTTCCAGCTTTTCCTGGCTTGACGGGAATGCACACATCCAATCATCACCATATCCTCTTTGGGGCAAAGTGCCAATGAAGGGTGTACCCACCCCTTATTGCTGAAAACCATTATACAAAAAAAGCTTTTACTACTGAAATCTCTTCATTTTTACGTGAACACTTTAAAACTTTGTAATGGGATAATCATATAAAAAAAATCACTCTCCACAGTCATATACATATGGTTGTTAAAATAAAAAACACAATCTAACGTTGTGTGCAACTGATCTGGTAGGTAGAAAGTGCACAAGGTACAAATCCTTTGGTTTCCAATGAACAAAACCCCACTTCAAATTGTTCAAGCCAAAAAGGAATATATTGGCAGGATACTGGAACTTGGAATCCACGAGAAAGAAGAATAGGACCAGAGAACCAAAAAGATACTCTACTTCTCTCCTCCTGGCTGGGGGTCATATCCTCCTCTTGTGAGCATATCCAGGTTCAACAGCCATGCGTCCCTGGGCAAAGAACTAAAGCTCTCACTGCTGGATGCCCTCACCAGTAAAGGGGGAATGGTGAACATATCTGCTTCATGGGGGTGTAGTAATGACGAGTCAATGTATGAAAAACCCCTAGAACAAAGAGTACCTGGTACACGCTGAGCTCTCAATGCTACTTATTAATACTATCATCAACCACATTCTGTGTCTGCAGGCTGGATTCCTCTCCTTCAACGGGGATTGTATCTCAAATCCAAATTGCCAAGAGAAAGAATATGGCTTGAGTTGTCAATCTTGTGTCTTGAAGAAGGACAGGCTGCTATGGCTGAGCCTAGCTCTTTGGGTGGGAAGTCACTTCTCAAGGAGTGGCCCAGGGGGACAATCTGAAACCACACCCATAAGGGAAAGGAGAAACGTCTCGTCAAAGAGAACTCCATTCACTCTGTAACATTCTACACCGTCTATGCAAAAATGATTTCTCCTGTGGGGAAGGAAGTCACCTATGAAGGTGAGTGACAGAGGGAGGAGGTAAGGGAACCAATGTCCAGTAAACACTTGCAGTGCTCCAGGAACAAGACTAGGTCTTGTATATGCATAATTGGAGGTAATCCTTGTGAGTGTTAATTATGCCCATCCCCGAGGTAACCTTACCTCACCCCGCAGGCTGGGGTGTCCGTGTTCTGTAGAAAGGCATCCCAAACACGACCTGACCTCTCTGTCCCCCAGCGAAGGTTGTTCCTTGTCACTAATCACAGTGGAAGGTTCCTTTGATGTCTCGTACCTCTCAGAGGGGTGTCTCTCAAAAATTCATATGTTGGAGTCCTAGTGTGGTTAGATTTGGAGATAAGGCCTTTCAAGGAGATCAGGTTAAGTGAGGCTGAGTCCAGGGGAGGCAGCCAGGAAGCAGCGGGGTGTTAGGGGAGATTTTGATTTAGTGGTGAAGTCACACTTTCTGGGAGTGTAGAGTCATTTCTGTCCGCAACGTTAATCTCAAAAGGTCAGAGGTACCCTCGTTTCTAAGAAGTTATGAATCTGTCATCCATGAAATGAGCTAAACTGTTCTTTATCCCATTTATGTCCCCACCTGGGCCAGCTCTCAGGAAGGTAACAGCTCTAGAATTTACCACGGCCAGCCAAGGAGCCATCAACACCTTCATGGAGTTGCATGAGGGCAGGTAAATGATAGCTGTAATTATCCCCGTCTAATCTCTAAAATACCTGCCTGTTGCCATTCTGTGGCATGATGCTGGGAACAGGTGCTAGGTTGCCGAGAGTAACTGGAAGAGAGAAATTCTAAGTGGAACCTTGAAATCATGGTTCATGGGAGATAAAGGAAGGACGGTTAGGCACACTATTGTGAGAAGCCAAGTAAGCCAGGATGTTTCTGAGTAAAAAGTCAGTAGATCTCCCTTTTCTTTATGGACAGCAGTGGGTTAAAGTAGTTTTTACACAAAACACAGAGTTAATTCTTTTTTTTTTTAATATATATATATATATATATATATATATATATATATATATATATATACTTTTTTATTGATTTCAGAGAGGAAGGGAGAGGGAGAGAAAGATAGAAATATCAATGACAAGCGAGAATCATTGCTCAACTGCCTCCTGCTTGCCTCACCCTGGAGATCGAGCTCTCAACCTGGGCACGTGCCCTAACCTGGAATCGAACTGTGACCTCCTGGTTGTTAGATCAACACTCAACCACTGAGCTATGCGAGCTGGGCTATTCCTGTATTATTGATATTTATTTATTTATTTATTCATTTATTTATTTATTTGTTGTAGTATTCTTCTTATTATGAAAATTTATTTTTAAATATATTTTATTGATTTTTTTACAGAGAGGAAGAGAGAGGGATAGAGAGAAACATCAATGAGAGAGAATCATCGATCAGCTGCCTCTTGCACACCTCCTACTGAGGATGTACCTGAAACCAAGGTACATGCCCTTGACTGGAATCAAACCTGGGACTCTTCAGTCCGTAGGCTGACACTCTAGCTACTGAGCCAAACCGGTTTCGGCATTATTTTATTTTTTAATGTAAATTAAACAGCCAAATGAAGTTGTCGACTAATAACAATGCAAATGAAAATACCAGATTTATGGTGGTAAAAACTGGACAGCCTTCCAAACGTATTGCAAATTCAGAGATGGCTGGAAAGTAAAAACAAGACCAGGGTGCCTTTGATTCTGACACGGGCAGCTGTAGGCAGAACACCCCTCTGAGAGGTATGGGACATCAAAGGAACCTTCCGCTGTGATTAGCGACAAGGAACAACCTTCGCTGGGGGGACGGAGAGGTCAGGTCGTGTTTGGGATGCCTTTCTACAGAACACGGACACCCCAGCCTGCGGGGTGAGGTAGGGTTACCTCGGGGATGGGCATGGCTGTGTAGGAGAGTCCAAAGCAGTAAATCAAAACCTCCCCTAAGACCTGGCTGCTTCCTGGATGCCTCCCCTGGACCGAGGGGTGACTCAGAATGTGACTGGCTCTGAGACTGCAAACATTCCTGAATTATTCCCACGGGCCTGGGCAAGGGCACTGAGAGGACTGGTTTGGAATGACTGCTGAGGATGGGAAGATCCTCACAGGGAAAAGCAATTGCCCAGAAAGCTCAATTTTGAGGTGTCTTTTACTACAACCAGGAGGCAGAGGTACCTTCTGACATACTAAATCGTAGAGGCTAGGAAATGTTTACTAATGTTTTGATTTACATGCTGGGCTTCCCTCTGTAATCGGCACCTTCGATTTTGTGGGACAGGCAAGAGCAAAGTTTCCAAATGGTGAAAGAGAACCTGAATGTTTAGTCACACATGAGAACACACATGATCTGGTCACGGGCTCTATTTCTGATCCGATTTGCAGCTGGTCTTCCCTGGGACATGCTGCCCCTGTCATACCCACACTCTGCCATTCCTTGAACATGCCAAGTCCTCTGTCACCTCAGGACCTTTGCAAGTTTCTGTTCCCTCTGCCAAGAGCTCCGCTTTCTGGCTTGCGCACACACTTCATTCCTTGGACAGACCTTCCCCAGCTGTCCTGAACCTTTTCAAACCCTATTCCCCTATTCCTTCACCCTGCTCTCGTTTCCTTGGTAGCACTCACGCTCCCTCATATTATATTATCTTTTTATGTTCTTTCGTTTATTACCGCCCTCCACAGAAGTTCCATTACAATAGAGATTTTTGGTTGGTTGGTTCACCAGTGCATTCTACTGTGTGATGCATAGAATATCATCAACAAATATTATTGAGTATGTGAATAAACTTTTAAAAATTCTTTATGTGAGCATATGCAGGTATTTCTCTGTGCTTAGAGTCCTACATGTATTATGTTATTTAATCTTTATAACCACTCTATTAGGTAGGGATTACAGTCTCGCATTTATAAAGAAATTGAGGATTTGAGAGATGAAGTAACTTGTCTGTTTGGGTTGTTATTTTTAGATTGTGGTTTATCTGTTGTCTTGTTGTTTTTGGTTTTTGTGTTGTTGTTGTTGTTGTTTTTTTTGGGGGGGGGTTGTTTGTTTAAAGGATCTTGAGTTGACGTATCCAGACTTACTTCCACTCTTTTTTAAAAATATATTTTATTGATTTTTTACGGAGAGGAAGGGAGAGGGATAGAAAGTTAGAAACATCGATCAGCTGCCTCCTGCACACTCCCTACTGGGTATGTGCCCACAACCAAGATACATGCCCTTGACCGGAATCGAATCTGGGACCTTTGAGTCCCAGGGCTGACGTTCTATCCACTGAGCCAAACCAGTTAGGGCTTATTCCCACTCTTAACACACTGTCTTTCTCAGTTCTTGAACTGCCCCTTTTTCTACTTATTTTATAATTTTCCTCCCTTTAGGCCCTATCCCTAACTTAATTTTCTTCTCCAAGCTGACACCTGACTGAGTAGGCCTAAGAAAGAAACTAATAGTTCAGGTATACACTTCAGCTACGTCACTGGCTGACCTCCTGGCTTTGCCATTGACTGTGTGACCTTGGGATATTCTTGGCCATTATTGTTGGAATGATTGGCCTCCTTCAATTTCCTGCTGCTCTTCTGGTGTGCTTACAAATACACTTTGACACCTGATTCTCCAAGTTTCTTTTTTCTTTCTTTTGTTCTTTACTCTGTCCTTTCCTGATGTCTCCTGGGGGAACCCCTCAATCTAATCTCCAGCTCATATATTTACTAGATACTTTATTTAAACAACCCATTAAAATCTTTAGTCAATAACAACAGAATTTTTTTTATTTTTAAATTAAAAAATTTTTATTTTTATTATTTTATTTATTTATTTATTTATTTATTTATTTATTTATTTATTTATTTTGCCCTGGCTGGGTAGCTCAGTTGGTTAGGGCAGCAGTCGGCAAACTCATTAGTCAACAGAGCCAAATATCAACAGTACAACGATTGAAATTTCTTTTGAGAGCCAAATTTTTTAAACCTAAACTTCATTTAACGCCACTTCTTCAAAATAGACTCACTCAGGCTGTGGTATTTTATGGAAGAGCCACACTCAAGGGGCCAAAGAGCCACATGTGGCTTGAGAGCCACAGTTTGCCGACCACAGGATTAGGGCATCGTCCCAGTATGCCAAGGTTAGGTTTCTAACTGCAGTCAGAACACATATAAGAATCAACCAGTGAATGTATGAATGGGTGGAACAACAAATCAATGTTTCTCTCTCCCTCTCCCTCTGTAACTCTCTCACCTCCTCAATGTCCTTCTCTTTCTAAAATCAATCAATCAATAAAAACTCTAAGAAAATTTAATTTTTAAAACGTTATTGAGGTATAATTGACAAGACTGTAAGATACTTGAAGTGTACAACATGATGATTTGAGGTTTGTTTTTTTAGATTCCAGTTCTAAGTAATACCAGGCAGTATTTGTCTTTCTCCATCTGGCAGGATTCATTCTTAGTATTTTTAATTCTTTTACTGAACTGCCTATTCTCACTCCATGTTTCCAGTATCTTCTGCCATGTCTTCAAGCATATTTATTATTCTGGTGGAAAATTCCTCTCCTGTTTTCCATGAGTTCTGCATTCTCTGGTATCCCTCAAACTTGCCATGCTCGGAATTTGCCCTCTGAGCTCACCTCTGTTCCCGTGGGGCCATGAGTCGCCTTGATGAGTGAGCTGCATCCTGGAGAGGGGAAAAATCTAGCCAGCTTGCGCTTCCCCCGAGTGAAATGGTGTGCGTGTTTATTGCTGTGTGCGTTGGTGGGAGAGGTATCCAAGGAACTCTAAACCATCTCTTATTGAAGGCAGGAGCTCTGATTACAATGGATGCCCACAGAGGGGTAGGGGCAGCACGTATGTGGAGGGAGCTTTCCTGGCCCTGGGCAGACCAGCTACACGGACCGCCATGTGCTCATACAGATGCCAGTCAAAGCTCTACCTTGAAGCTGCCCATGGCTTCTAGCCTGTACCCTGATCCCCTACCTCCACAGTACCAGGAGGGAGAAGCTGCCCACGGCATTGCAGGGGTGCGGGAAAGGCATAACTAAAAATTGTTTTCCCAAACCTGGTTCCTATTTGTGACCCCAGGCCCTCCCTGTCCCTGGCCACCTTCCCTGCCAACGAACGTCTATCTGCTTGCTGGTTACTAAGCACAGCTCTGAGGTCTCTCATCTCCTCTGACGTCCCTCCCCAGGGGAACACTCCTATTCAGGTAAGCCAAGTCTAAAATGGAAAAGCTGTCAATGCCGCTTCTGAGGGCCTTGGAACACTGATTAGATATTAAGGAATAATGAAGGCTTTTAGACATGATAACCGGTACTGTGTTTATGTTAAAATAAAGAGTTCTCCTCTTTTAGAAATACATACTAAAATATTTATAGTTGAAATGTTGTATATGGCTTTTGCTTCTGAATAAAACAGCAGGTGGGAAATGAATGGAAATATAGATAGAACAAGATCGGCAATGAGTTTATGACTGTTGGAGATGGGTGGTGGATATATGAGAGTTCATTATACTGTTCTGATTAATTCTGTATAAGCACAAAGTAGAAATATTAAAAGCCTAATAATAAAAGGTTAATATATATATATATTCTTATATATATTCTTATTTTCAACAATATTGAAGTACATAATTAAAAGTGGATTGTTGCCCCGGCTGGTGTGCTCAGTTAGTTGGGCGTTTCCCCGCACACTGAAAGGTGCCTGTTTGATTCCCCACCGGGCTGTGGGGTAGATCCCCAGTAGGAGGCGTGCAAGAGGCAGCCTATGTGTCACTCTCACAGCGATGTTTCTCTTTCTCTCCCTCTCTCTCCAAAACTCAATAAAAAATATTTTTTAAAAGGTGGGTTGTCTGTTTTCATAACCCATTTTCATCTGAACATTCCCCGAGATAATCACTATAATTCCAAACTGATACAGGCAAGGTTTTTTTGTGTCACTGCACACACACACACACACACGCGCGCGCGCACACACATATATGGGTATTTTTTTAAATGCAAGAAAAAGCAGAGATTAAGTATAAGCTTTATATATTTTTTTAAATGCAAGAAAAAGCAGAGATTAAGTATAAGTTTTACAATATGTTAGTCATTTCTACATTTTGGGTGGGACATACACAATTTTGTGTGTGTGTTTTTTAAGTCTATAAGTATACATACCAAACTGTTAACAATATAGGGGAGAAAATGATATTTTTATTTCTGCTCAATTTTGTATTTTAATCTATCAGAGTAAGTTCAAAAGTACTTTGTGGAGAAAACACAATATGAAAATTCCAAACTTAGGAAACACATTTGTTTTGGAGTAGGTAGAAGGAATCTTCACTAAAAACGAGTAACCATAAATATTTAATATAACCAATGTCTTCATTTATGATGAAGAACACATCAGACTTAGATTTTTACATTTTATCAAATTTTTACATAACTTTCCCAATGCACACACCTGCACAAACCTCATGGCCTATGACCTCAATTTGATGTCTTTAGGCCAACTCCGATTAGGGCACCAAATAAGTAAACAATCCTATCAATTCAGTTTTTTCACCCATTCATTTCAACTAGAATTATTTCATTTAAAATAGCTGATAACTTAACCACAGTAGACTCATCGAGGGAAGAGAAAGAGAAAAGCAAGCAGAAAATATAAATAGAAGCCATGTATCATAACTACATGGACCTTATTTAAGAAACAGAGAAACACTTTGTGTGTGCATTGATCTTCTCTCTCTTTGGACAAAGAACAGGAAGATGGACATGTAGGGCCTCTCTGAGTGCCAAGAACCACCTACTCCCACCCATCTGCCAAGCCAGCTCCATATGTTCTAAAAAAATCCATGCAATATTTTTGTCATATTTTTTTCCAATTAAGGAGGGCAGCTTTTCTTTTCAGTTGCTCTACAAACTCCTTATAACACTTACATGATAGGGTTTGTGTAAAATTTCATTTATTGTATACTACACATAGATGGATATTGAGTAATGTTAATTATTTTTTTCCTACGTTCATAGGTGATATTAACATTAATTCATTCGAAAACATTTAATAACCCCATACTATTTGCTAAATGCTGATAATACAGACTTGAGTAAGATGTTTTTTGGGGGAACTTATTAAACACCTTCCATATTTAGACTGAAGCAGTCCTTGTGGTCATCTTTAGATACTTTCCTGTACTTAACACAGAATTTTGAATGAATATACGGTTTTTGATAAAGACACAGGGTCTGGTTTTTTTAATTATACAACTTGTGGAAAATGGTGCATAGCTAGTTTTCTTGAGAGAACATTATTACTGCCATTTGCTGTATTATTTAATTTAAAACATCATTCAAATGAAATGGCATAGCATAAAACTTCAAAAAACAATATAACATCTTTGAATCATGGGGGAAAAAAATTAAGATTTTTTTTTTAAAAAATTATCCTAAGCATGGAAACACCATTTGGGACAAAAATAAATAAATAAATAAATAATAGCACCTTTCTGTAAGATCTGTAAAAGGATTAAAAATGGATTCTAACTTCAAAATTCCTAATATCTGAAAATTATACAAAGGAAGAAAACAATGTTAAAATAAGGGACAAAAAATTAATGTAAATAATGGCTGTTCTATAAAGTAAGTTACATTTTTGTGATATATATATATGACTGAATATTTGTTTTTATCAATTTGCAGCCAGCAAAGTCATTGGTACAAATTTTAATGTTGAAGACAAGTATTCTAGAAAAATCAGTTTGAGAAATCTCCCCCATATTTGTGGAGGAATAGTCATTTCTGAATCAAATTCTGTTACTAAGGAAGTAAATATTAACATATGGCCACTCAAATCTATCAATGTCCTAAAAAATGCACAAAAATAAGCCAGTTATAAGAAATTGGCAGGATGGGGATATGATTCACGGATAAGAGACCCTCCACTCCAGCTGCTGGTCGCCCTGCCCGGGCCACATGGCTCTGACCTCAGTGTGTGACACACGGTGAGCTCACCCCGGTCTCAGCAAGAGTCTGTAAGAGGAGAAAGTGACATTTTCACTTGCACTAAAATTGGGATTTCATCGGAGTAGTTCAACCGTGCTTCACTCTGGAGAAAACCTAGTAAAATTCCAAACTTATGAAATAAGTATATTGGGGGGTGGTATCTCATTTAAGGTAAATCACCAAGGCTATCAGCATAGGCTTGTTTGTATTATGTGTACCAGTATTAATTATAAAAAAGAATTCAATATTTACACAAATTCAGTGTTTACACACACACACACTTTCTGATCTGGACCTGAAGTCAGACCTTATTACAGGCCTAAAGCCCCTTTTAACTCTAAAATTGTATAGTTCCCTGATAATTCTCTAAGATGTTTCCTTCTGCACCAGTGGCATGAGGAGCTCACAGTCCCCTAATGCAGTGTTTTTCAACCTTTTTTGGGCAAAGGCACACTTGTTTCATGAAAAAAATCACGAGGCACACCACCATTAGAAAATGTTAAAAAATTTAACTCTGTGCCTATATTGACTATATATAAAGTAATTTTCTTGAATAGGAATCAAATAAACACAAAGAAAGTATTTTATAATTACTTTATTATGAAATATTAAGTAAACAAAATAGTGAAAAATTATAAAATTCTTATCTTGTCTGCACCTATGGCACACCAGGCAACATCTCGCGGCACACTAGTGTGCCGCGGAACAGCGGTTGAAAAACGCTGCCCTAATGTGTTCCTTCCCCAGTCCTATTTGTAAGAGTAGTGGTTGGACCAGTGCTTGAGGAACTACACAAGTAGTGGACTTCCCGTGGTTCGAGAACTATGGCTATTGTACACTTGGATTTTGCTGGACATGTCAGTGAAAAATATAACCTTTCAATCCCCAAACACCAGTAGAGTACTGAGGTAAAATACGCACACAAAAATAATGTCTTTTCTAAAATCTCTGAGAAAAATAAGTTAATACATAAAGTTTTCCCAATTTCCTGTGTTTCTCCCATGTAGTTTTTTAAATTTCCAGTGTCTCCCAACACTTGTCTATTAGTGGAGGATAGCAGTGCAAAAAAGTACCAAATTATATATATGGAAATACATAAAAGACCACTGACTCTTAGTTTATTAATTTATTTATGCCTATAAATTTAAGCCTGTAAATTTTTTTTCTAAATATATTTTATTGATTTTGTACAGAGAGGAAGGGAGAGAGATAGAGAGTTAGAAACATCGATGAGAGAGAGTCATCGATCAGCCCCCTCTTGCACACCCCCTACTGGGGATATGCCCGCAACCAAGGTACATGCCCTTGACCGGAATCGAACCCGGGACCTTTCAGTCCCCAAGCCGACGCTCTATCCATTGAGCCAAACCGGTTTTAGCTAAGCCTGTAATTTTTATTCTTGCATAAACTATCATTATTTAATTGAACCCTTGTATCTTTTTAAAAATATTATTTATTGATTGATGTTAGAGAAAGAGGAAGAGAGAGAGAGAGGGAGAGAGAGAGAGATATATCCATTTTGTTGTTCCACTTATTTATGCATTCATTGGTTGATTCTTGTATGAGTCCTGACCAGGGATCAAACCCGCAACCTTGGCATATAAGGATGATGCCTTAACCAACTGAGCTACTGGGTCAAGGCTCAACTCCTGTATCTTGAACTTTGTATGTGCCAGGGCTTGTGCTGAACACTAGATATAAGAGAGTGCTAGACATGCTCTTTGTGTCATGAACGTGACACAGATAGAAATGTTAAATAAATTATTTCCCCAAATATATTCACATGGACAAATTGTGCTAAACATAATAAAAGGGGGAAAATAATATTGAGAGGAAAATGGGTCTCCTAACCTACAATTTGGTATACTTGAATCTTCAGAATAATTCATTTTTTATATAAGGTGTTTCTTATCGACCAGCATGATCTCTGAGTCTGGGCTGGGGAATGTGGAACATCCTGCCCTTCCTTTTCCCATCTCTCTTCCTTCCTCTCCCACAGGTGCCAGGTACCAATTTCTCACCCCCCCCCCCCCCCTCCCTCCTTTAGAAAAGACAAAGCAGACAAAAAAAAAAAAAAAAAAATAGGCCCCCCTGAGATTCAATTATGAAAACCAGTACCTGGAAGAGCCAGCAATCTTCCAGAATTAGCCATGAGGGTGCTCTGCCTTCTTTAAGTGTGTTGTGTATGTCAAATGAGAAAGCATTAAGTAAATAAGCAGACACACCAGATATCAAGACTCCGGGGGTTGGCTGTGGGCCCGAACCCTATGTTCATTTTTCTGTTCTCATTTTGCTTGGCTCCTTGGCAGCATTCGAGTTGACTGCCTCCTTCTTGAAACCCAACGCCTCCTGGCACACTTATTTCCCACCCCGCCCGCCACCTCTCTAGCCACTCATTC